GAAAGAGAAGGACCCGAGAGCAACTTGTCTAAGGAGATGCAGATGTCCAGAGGCAGAGCTGTTAGCACGCAGATGTCTGCTTTCAAGGAACAGGCAAAGCCCTGTAATTTTATCTTTTTTCCCCTTTTACCCTCACTGAAGATATGTTTATTGCTTTTGAGAGAGAGAGAGAGAAATATCGATGTGAGAGAGAAACATGGACCGGTTGCCTCAATGTGCCGGATTGGAGCTCGAACCTGCAGCCTCTTCGGTGTAAGGGGTGGCGCTCCAAGCAGCTGAGCCCCGGCCGGGAGGAAGCCCTGCCCTGTAAGCGACCGCCGCAGAAGCGGCAGAAGGCAGGACAAGCAACCAGCCCGCTCCGTCGTCGCAGGTGACACATCGGCGTGGCCTTCCTCTGCCTACGCGTTTGTACGGGCTGAGCTCCTGTGCTGACCGCCGAACAAAATTAACATAGAAAGCGGGGGGCCTCGATGAAAGAAAGGCGATGGGAGAAGGGGTTTGACCACAGATAAGTGCCTCTGTAGGCGCCCCCATGCCTCTAAAATTAATTATCCGGCATAAAATTAAAAAAGGTTTTGGATTCCATATTGTAGCCAGATTGGGGTGAGAGACAAATGTTAGGAAGGAGACTGAGCGAAGGAAAGTGAGAAGAAAAGAAACCAAGGTCCCCCCTCCCCGCACGCACACACATGCACACACATGCACACGCGCACAAAACAAGGAGTAAAGAAGTTAGGGGCATTGGCTCTGGCGTCCCACCTCTTTCTACCTGGAGTTTTCCCACCCGCAAGGGGACATGGTAATAGTACTGTCCTTGTGGAGTGTTTGGGAGGGTTAAATTAGCCATTTTTATTGCCATGTTAATTTGGGGGAGAATGTGCACTCTTGATGTAAAATGTGGTTAAAAACGTCTAGGATTGATTTAAAATATTTCTGTTGCCACCTAAGATGTGGATGCTGGGTGCATTGCTAAAATCTTACTCCTACTGTTCATATTTAGTGCTCTTCGAGATACAAATGTCGGGCTTACAGGAAGATGTAAGATTAAACTGAAACTAGACTTAACACTAAACACAGATTATTTTCCCTGTCTTGTAGCTGGAGTGACAGGAAAGGCGAGGGTCTCAGGAGCAGCTGGGCACAGACAGGGATGCCAGCGGGAGCCCCCGTCCTTGCTCTCCAGGCTACTTCTGCTCATGGACCCCCTCTTTCCTCCTACCCAGGCTTTCTCCAGGTGGTGGGAACATGGCCACGATGTGACTGTGGCCAGGGCTGGGCACCCACGATCCTGGTTCTCTGGCAGGCGAGCAGAGAGAGCTTCCACGAGTTAGGTCAAGCCTGCTGGGCAAGGTTCCATTTGGCCTGACCTAGCCGACCACGCGCTCACCCTGATGACCCGTGGCCCGGGAGATCGGGTGCTGTGAGGAGTGGCCCACCCTCCCTGCCGCTGGGGCCAGCTGGGGAGAGGTCCTATAACTAGGAGCCCCCGCAGAGGCTCAAGGGCCTGGGGACAGTAGTTCCCAAAAAAAGGAAGTTTCCATAACTTCTTCCTGTGGTGGGAAGAAGGAAACATGGAACTGACAGAAGCTGATAGGTAGCTGGGGTGCAGAGGGAGGGAGGGGTGGAGGGAGAGTGAGAACGGAGAAATGGCACTTTGCTCACTTTGTAAAGGGGCAAATGTTGATGCCTCGAGGAAGGGATGTCCGACACCGTAGCGTGGTAGTGCCCCTTGGAGTCCTGGGAATGTCAGCGCCAAAGGGGTAGCTTGTTAGCTTGTATCCACAGAGGACGGACACTGGAACTTGCTCCACAGACTGGATGACATTTAGTCCAGGGTTTGTTTCCAGCCTCTGGTCTTTGTGGTCCTCCACAAGGATTTCATTCAATTCGGTTGTTGGGGTGTCTGTGCTCTGAAGGGCAGTTTTTAAAAATGAAGAACCATAGTCACTTCTAACTACATCTAAGACTGCAAAGGGAAAATCCCTCTTATGGATTGTAGCCATCTTTCTCTCTCACACATTTTCTTTTTTGTCGTCGTTGCTGTTGTTGGATTTTTCCTGAAGAATGTAGCATGCTTTAGACTTCTCCGTATTCTAAATCTCATTTAAAAAGTGTTGAATCAAGGAAGTCTGCCAGCTCTTTTTGTTTTCTCTACTTTTCTGTCCGTGTTGGACTGCTCTGGCAAAGGAGGCTAATATTACCTTACCATGTAAAACATGGTTAATGGCTTTAAAGAATTCCCCAGCAACTGAATAATGGGCTGCCAAAAATATTCTTGGTGCCAAAGGATATGGATATGTCTGCTCCATTTATTGTGTGTTTCTACTTTCATCATGACTAAGTGCTCACAAAAGACATAAAAACCTAACCCTCTAGGGTATGTGGCGTTTGAGGGCAGAAACCATATTTTAATATATTCAGTCCTATGCCTAACATATTGCGATACTTAGCAGAGTATCAATAGCAAACAAAGATGGATACCTATAGTACATAGGATACTCAAATTATCAATTAAATTGATTTCTAGTGACCAGAAGGAAGTTGTTATATTGTCTTGTGCTTGGTTGAGTGGCTTCATAATGTTTATTCTTAGAATTTCTGAAAGTCTTGCACCAAACACTTTTAACTTGTTCTGCCTGCTTGAATAAGTTTACTTTTCTCCGAAATAAGAAGGTGGAACCTATTTCTTAATTAAAGCTTCATGTTCCAACAGCCTGGTGGTGCAGTATAGCAAAGTCATTTATTTTTGTTTTACTTTGATAATAAATTGAGTCATTAAAAATGGGTTTTCCTTAAAAATGTGTTTAAAAATTAATTTAAGAATATACTGAAAAAATCTGGGAAAATGCAAATATAGAAAAATTTAAAAGGTGCTTTGTTTCTCCCTGAAAATAAGAAAAGTAGCACCTAAACCCACTCCTCGTCTACCCCCACCTCACTCCCACCCCACCTTCCCATGGACCCTTCCCACTTGGCCTGGGCTCAGACTGTCTGGTTCTCACTTGGCAGGAGACTCAATCTCTCCTGCTTCTTAGTTTGGGCCAGGCAGTTGCCAGCTGTCCTGGATTACAGTGTGGTTTCTGACTCAGGTATGTATTCTTCCACCAGTGTCTTAATTGCTAGGCTCTTAGGGGCAAAGTAATTGTCTTCAAAGAATTCCTGAAATAGAGATTCTTAATTGTTTTGCATGAGACTCCCAGGACAGATAACATTCATATGGGGTCCACTCCCTTGGGCCCAGGGCCATGAGAAATTCTTGGGCTGATTAACTAAAATTCTATATCATTTACTCCTGTTCAGCAAAGTGTATTGGAATTCAGTTGGATAAGAGTGACTTTATCCAAGAAGATAAACCTGCATCTGCTTTAAATTTGTGTGTGTGCATGTTTGTATAATTTGTACATGATATTTAGTCCTGTGTTATTTATAAAAATTATTTAAAATGCTCTATTATAACCAAGGAGTATGAACCCAAGTCCCATGGGGAGGCAGCATGTTTGTGCTCTCTTGGGACTGGTTCAGTCCTCAGAAAGGAAACTGCTCCTGCATAATCTCCTATCTTTCCAGAAAGCCTGTCTAATGTTTAGGAGACACTGAGAGGCCACCTGAAGATAAAGCCTGTGAGGCAGAGTTTTCAAGAAAGAAACATAAACACCATCCTAGTTTATTGTGACTTTAGGAAAAGAAGCAGGGTAGCTCTTTGCTGTCCCTGGAGACCAGTGCTGAATCTACCATTTCCTGTTTGCAGAACTAAATTGTACAGAAAGGCAGTAATTATCTGCTGTGATTATCAAGCAATTAGAACAAAGCACAAGTTATAAATTTAGGGATACACAGGTATTTACTTGAAATAGTTACTGAAATTAAAATATGTTTGCAACTGACTGAACATCATGAAAATATAAAACTATGGGTTAAGAAAAACCCTTAATTTTTATATAAAAAATATTTTTTATACTCAGCTGTTTTGTGTGTGTGTGTGTGTGGAGTTGGATATGCTGCTCTTCAAATCATGCCACTTAAAACAGAATTTTCACTCAGGAGACTTTTGATTAAAATATTTAGCTTAAAACACTAAATGTTAATCCTGTGCTTCAAGATTAGTGAGATAAAGGCATGGTGTATAATGACTTGGAAATTCAGAGTGTTGTTGGGGAGGAAAAAGTTTTTATCTGCCCTTCTAGGTTCCTTTGGCTGGTCTAATGAAATTAACATGATACAAATTAACAGGAGAAAAAACAGTTTAATTTTTATAAATATAGGAATTCCAAAGATATGTGTCTCCCAGATAGTCAGGCAATTGGTTTATATATTATTGTGGTCTAAGGAGAAGGCGGTAAGGGCCTGGGAGTTCACAGGGTAGGCAGACAATTCATGGGGAGATGGGAAGAGTAAATGTCTGTTAAACGAATGTGGAGAAGTCTTTCAGGTGTAAAAACAAGTTCTCTTTGGCCCTTTTTTTCTGGTACAAGCAACCAGTATCTAAACTATTTTAGAGAGTTAAGGTGGAGGTAAAAAGAAAAACTTTCTGTATCCTCTGTTTCTTACAAATTATCAGCCTAAAGTAATCCTCATGATAAAGAGGCACATTTTGGGGTGACAAACTTTGCTTCCCTACAGTGTCATCTAGTTTTTCATATGCTACACAGAAATAAAAGTCAAATTTTAGAGAGTACAATTTACATTAAGCTGTTTAAGTATTTTTGACAGGAGAGTTTTGCTCATATTATTACTGAACCAAACACAGATGTTTAGAGGATGAATTAGTAGGCCCCTGCCTTACCACAGGAAAGTGGGTTAGAGATTTGTCCCTCTAACCCTGATGTCAGATGCTCTCTAAAAGGCCATTTGGGGACTGGAGGAAAGCAGTGACGCATCCTAGGAAGAACAAAGTCTTCCACTTAAATTTAAAACCAAATACCCAGCAGGGTGCGCAAAAACAAGACAAAACTATCAGAATACCAGGTGCACACTAATTATGTTCCTTTCTTCTGTTACAGGCTCAACCTGGGAAAAGACGTTGCGGCAGATTGGCTTTGAAAGGTAAGCGGGGCTTAGCATGTCTCCATTTTCAGCTGGCTGCTACCCTTTTTTATTCCAAGCAATTTATTGATTAAAAATCAGTGGTTCTGCTACCACTGCTTCAGTAAGTGAGTAACTTTGTGCCTCTTGAGACTCAGTTTCTTTGTCAAGTAGAGCTTTGCCGTATAAAAATCTTTGCCTGTGTACAGAGTGGACATGAAGATTAAATGGAGCAACTTATTTGAAAACACTTCTTAAACTGCAAAACTTTATAAAAGGAAAGTTGTATAGTTAGAGAATTATAGGAGTAGAGTTTACTTTCTTCTAGCTTATTCACCTCATTTGTCAATTCTGTTGTTTTAGTGCAGAGAAATTTATATTTATGTTGATATCTTTCCAATTATTAAAATTATTAGATATTGGCTCTAAAGGAAAGGTTGAGATTACATCGCTCTTAAGCATTTCTGTTGTTGGTGGAAATGGGGCTCTTCTCCAGGACCTTGAGGAAAGAATTCCAAGGACCCACGCACGGGAGACTGTGGTGTTGGGGAGTGGTATATTTGTGATGTAGTATCAAAAGAGTTCTCCTGGCTTCCTAATGTTGCATCTCCATCTGTCCTGCCATAGATAAAGTACAACCGTGTCTTTAGCAAGGCCAAGGCAAAGGCCAGTGCTCAGAGTTTCTGCTTCATAGTCCTTCAGGGCCTGCACAATCTGCTTCGGGCCTAGGTGGCCACAAGGCCTGCATGATCTGGTGGCTCCTGGGCAAGAGAGCCTGTGATTCAATGGGTGAGTGCAGATCACCAAGCCAGGGAGAAAGCTTCTTTGTTCACCTGGAATTATGTATTCTCAGGCTTGGGAGGAACCAGAACTTTTTCAAAATAACCAATCAGCTTCCCAAACTGTCTGGGCTTGCATTGGCTCCACTCACCCTAGCCAATGATTTTTCTCTCAGGTTAGACTGACAGACCACTATAGTTAAGTATCTCCCCCCTCCCCCCATGCCATTTTGACTTCGTTGCACAGGTCCTTATCTCCCCCTGCTCCTGCAGTCCTGTCCTGAGGGGGGAAGGGAGGGCATTAACGCCCTTGGAGGGACAATGCTGCAGTTCCTGGGGGTGTGAAGCTGTAGCTTCCTGGTGAAGTCCACAGCCTCATGGTCCCCAGCCGACCACACTACCGTACTTAACAATTTTTAACTTCCCTTGCTTTCTTCCTTTTAATAACTAGCTAACAACGGTAACATTTCTACACCTGTATCTCCCCAAAAGAAAAAAAAAATGGGGTCATTATAACATCAGAAAATGTAGAAGTAGGGTTGATGCTGTGACTGAACCATCTGCCCTTGGAATGGAATGCCAGCACATCAGGACAGGTCTCTCCAGTGGCAGTTATCATCTTATATTGAACTGGCAGTGTCAATACAATTATTGAAAGAAAGACATTTTAATTTTTTTCTCTAAAAGTAGATTTTGACTAGTCCTGTTCATTATATTGAAAGTGTGTTTTTACGTGTATTGATTAAGCTGACAGAGCGCTTGTGACATACAAAAGGGAATCGAACTGGTGAGCTCATGGTGCGTGGGACGAAGCTCAGCCAGCTGAGCCACACTGACCCGGCTCAGTGTCCTTCTAATTTGCATTTACCTGAGTTTATTTTTTCTGAGTAAAGAACAGGTTGAGATTTTTTTGCTTTTACCTAAGTGAAGCACTTTGGGCAAGAACGTCTAAGATGGTTTAGGATTCATTGATCAGTAGGATGTAGCAATTGCAACGTTTTCTTCCTAGGTTACATGACCTTGACCTTTTGTTTACTTGAATAATGACAATGAAAACAGCTACCATATGCCAAGCACTGTGTTAATCTCTAGCCCATACGACAGTCCAGAGATTAGGGACTGGCAAACTTACTGTAAAGAACAGAGAGTAAACATTTCAGACTTTACAGGCCAAACAGTTTCTGTTCAAATTTCGCTGTTGCCATCGTATTGGAAAGCAGCCATAGATAATGGATACGGCTGTAGTCTAATAAAACTTTATTAACAAAAACAGGTAGCTGGCAGGAGTTGGGTGCTGGCCATCACTAACCGCCACCACTATAGACTATGGTCGCCATCTCTCAGGTAAAGAAACTCGAAGGAAATCAAGTAGTCTACACATCTGGTCAGCGCCATTCATACCGACCTGCAGTCAAGTAACGTTTGCCTGGTTTCAAAGACTAAGAATTTTACACCAAGCTGTGTCTAATTCTTGAATTCTAGGTCTCTTCTGTTTTGTGTTGCTTTATTTTTTCTATTCCTATGTTTCTGAGGACATAGTCCCAACTCACAAGTTTTATTGGCTGCTCTCATATTATGAATATCTTAAATAAATCCAGACATTATAAATTCCATATTATAGTGCCTCCCTAAAATTTTTATGTTTCCAAATAGATGTACAAGTAGAAATATTATTAAGGAATTTATTAAGGAGTCTGCTTTGTTTTTGAACTGTCATCTCAGTTTGGATCATCCTGATTTTTAGACATCATGTTAAAATGTCAACCTGTGTCTTTCCACGTATTCCCATGTTTTCTCGTTTAAGGGCAGAGCGTATTCTCTGCATGGCATCAACTCTCTTAAAATACAGAGCAGATATTGATCTGCAGGGTTATTATGCATTTATAGTTGCAAAGACCCTATTAAGCAGTGCGGTCCAATATGGCTTTGCTGTCTTCCTTCTCAAGCTTAACCTCTTTTTTATCTTAAAGGGAATTTCAATTATATCTTACATGAAGCTATCTGGTTCTTTAGAGCAATTGTGAGATATATTGATCCTTTCATCGCTATGCCCTTTGAAGTTTGCCCACCAATCTGTTTGCTAACAGATTATTTTAAAGTGGTCACATCTAAAGGAAAAGAAATGACTGAGTAAGCTAAAGCTTCAAAGTTTTCTCCAAGGATAAGAAAGCAAGGATGTCCTCTGCTGTACATTTTGTAACTGAAAGGAGGACCTGGGGATCTGCCCTCCCCCCTCCTTGCAGTAACACTGGCCATGGGATGGCGTTTAGACATTCACTTTCTGGGAACTTTGTGATTATGTGCATTGTTTCAGGATAAATACACATCGTCACAGTTTATGTGGTTGGACGCATGATGATATGTTAGGCTCACCTTGAGGACAGTCATCCTAGTCCTGTTTTAGGACTTCCTTACCAGAGTGTGTTGTAACAGAGGAAGGAGCTAGGTTTCTATATCTTTACTGTTGCTACTTCTAACCCCCCCGGCCCACTCCCAGAGCTACAATATTGATATCTACATAACAAAAGAATATTCAATTGAGTTGTGTTATTTTGTTTTTGTTTTTATTATAGAGAAAAAAAAATACCTGTGTCTAACGTATTTTTATTTCAGTTTGAAAGCTTAGCTTTCTGTGCAGATTTTCTAAGCTTATGAGTACAAATGTTTCCAAGTCACATTCATTAATCTTGGTTAAGGCGATGCAGGTGGGCGTTGCTTTGTCAGTTCAGCCGTACTCTGTATGTTCTGAACATGTGTGTACACTAGGGAATGGCCCGATTTTCAGTATTTCTTTCCCACTCGTGCAAATCTGATGAAGATGGACAGCTCTACAGAGCAGCGTCTACATGGTGCGTCACTGTTTGGCTTCAATCTATAACACTTCTTTCCCAACATGATATTCCTTAGTTTGCCTAAGCGTGGAAGGAGAGGTGGGAGAATTGCACACTGGTTCTTAAGTGTTTCCACCTCGAAGTGGCCTTTGTCCTTGCAGCTCACAGTTTGTGGCCCAAAGCAAGTCACCTTGCTAATTTATAAGGAAGGAGAGGTGCAGTCCGCCATGTATGGGAAGGGGACAAGAAGTCGAAATATCAGAAAGCTGTAGTCGTATCTATCACAATAAGCTTGAGTAAGGCCTGAGTAGGATTTTCTCTTTCCAAAGCTACACTTTTCATCCGAGACAAAATATTTCAGCAAGTAAATAGGCTCATGCCTACTAACCTGCCAACAGAAATAAAAGTTCCTGCTTTCTGGGAAACCTTATTGCTGCCTACTTAAAAATAACAATCTTTTACTGATCTCTCACCCATTTTTACTTAAAAAGCGATGAGGTTATTCTTCATAAATCTATACAATCAGCACAGCGCCTCAGATTACATCATTATTAACAATATTATACATGATTCTATTTGATTCTCTACTTGGATTGTGGAATGAAATACCTTTTCCCTTCAAAGAGCATGTTAAAATATAAACCACCTTGAAAACAGCCTGGTCTGGTGAGACACGAATACTCCTAGGACTTCTTCCCCGTGTAGACATGACTCAAAAGGCATGGCTTTGTCTGTACAGGGCTAAGGAGCTGCCCGCAGCCTGTCTGTCGCCGGGCTAGCTCCCCGCGGCCCTTCACACCTTAGACATTATTGCTCTTGTGGAAACTTTCCCGGTGAGTTACTCCCAGACCCACCTCTTGTGACACTCTTCACACTTCCTGTCCTGGGACTGGACCCGTGGTGTTGGAACTGCCCCGCGCCCCTCCTCCGCTGGGACGAGCAGGGTGCGCTGGAGCGGGGCCCGCCTGGCCTGCGCTGCTCATCAGGCGTGTGGTCTGGCGGGTCCTTGGCGGGGAGGCTGCGCGGACAGTGCTAGTGAAGGTGCGCTTGTGGGCGAGGCAGAGCCCAGGCCGACGCCTTTTATCCCCACGTGGCAGCAGCTGGCAGGTGGATGGGGCAGCCTGCAGCTGGAGCTGGCCCGTCCCCGGCAGCACAGGCGGCTTAATTCGGTGTGTCAGTGTGAACAGCTGCTTAATTCGATGACCGTCAGTCATGTCAACAACAGAATATTTCTGAGCCTCTCTTCTCAAACTGCGGAGTCTGATGTTCCGAGTTTGACACCAGCTGCTCCCTGTGATAAGATCCCTGTGGCAGGATTGAGAGTCAGACAAGGACAGGGGCCTGTCTGCCCTGTGACCTGAGGCGCCTCGTGCCTAAGCCACCGAGGTGACCGAAGTGAAGTGATTGGAGG